ATAATAAATTTATAATTAAAGAAAGACACAGTCACGTAGTCTTCATTTGGAAGACTAAAATAGCCTGCCTTTTTGGTTTTTTAGCTAGTTTAACCTAACTTTTTTTAACTTCGTTTAGTTTTATATTTTGCGCTTTTTTTAACTTGTTAAAAAAAAAAGTTTAATGATTATATAAATGTGACTTTATATTATGACCTATATAAACTAATTTCATCTTTTATAATATATATATCATATTTTTTAGTCAAAAAGTCAGAACCAAACATAACCTATAGTGTCCTAAACTACACTAATAGTTTTTTCAAGCACCACCAAAAAGAAGATAGTACTAACAATCAAAATGTCTTTATTACAGTTGAATTGAAATGAAAAATTATCAGAAATGAGGGCCATGTCTTGCCAGAGATATCCAATGAAACTGTATGTACCTATAACACATGAAAAAGGGTAAACAACACTAACATCGCTCCCGTAACAATGGTTTGAAATGATTTAAATAAAATATATTTTAGATATAAAAAAATAAAAAAGTGATGCAATTTAAAAAAATAAAAATATAAAAAGTATTCTTTTTTAATACACCCTAAACCAACTCTAAATTTGAAATCACACGATATGATGATTTAAATAAAATATATTTTTTTTTTTGTAATATATAAAAAAATAAGAAGGTATATTAAATTAAAAAAATACATATATAAACTAATAGCACTTATTAGAACGTCAAAAAAAATTTAAATCCAAAAAATACCAAAAATACTAAATTTATGGTGTAAAATCTAAATTTACGTGTAGGATCATATCATCAATAAATCTGTCCCTTTGATTCAAGTTTAGTAATTTTCTCACTTTACACAGTAGTGTCTTCTTGCTGAGCCTTATTTGCATCTATTTTTTTTTTTTTAAATTAAAAATAATAAATAAAATAAAAATAAAAACTAAAATTGAACCAATAATAAATAAATTCAACAATAAAAATCCATCACATTTTATCTGTCAATCAAATATTTTCCCTTTACAGTCATTTATTAAACTATAAAAAAATTTACTAATCATCTTAAGAAGTTAAAAAACTACCTAACACGAGGCCACAACACGTGGGCAATGCTACAAACGAGGCCACAACACGTGGTTTCATTCCTGCCTCGTGTATACTCTATTACAAATATGCATGCAATAATCCCTCAAATTTTACCAAATCATAGTTCTCCTTGTTTACCTGTTTCACACTCACTCACTCATTCACCCACTCTCTCTTTCTGTCTCAATCATGGAGAAACTAAAAGAAACATATCAAACTTATGGAGATAAAGAGAGAATGGGTGAGAAGGAGATGGAAGAAGTGTTCAAAACCCTTCCCATGGAGAAACTCCCAGAAGGTATTGATCTCTATTTCTATGAAGGGCATTGGTATCCATCTATGTTCATAAATGGCATCATCCCATTTCAGCAACAATTCAAAGCACAAGACACTGATCTGATGCTAGTCACCTTCCCAAAATCAGGCACAACATGGTTGAAAGCTCTTGCATTCACCATAGCAAACCGTAACAACTACCCTTTTAGTGAAAGCCCATTGCTCACCACAAACCCTCATGGCCTCGTCCCTTTCCTCGATGATGATGTCTACGGCAAGAACCCAATCCTCAAGCTTGAAGACTTGCCTAGCCCTAGAGTCTTAGGAACCCATATGCCACACTCTGCATTGCCTACTTCCATTAAAGACACTGATTGTCGGCTTGTCTATCTTTGTCGAAACCCTCTAGACTTGTTCATCTCACTCGACACTTTTTTGCTAAGCTTCCAAATACACATTTCGATCCAAACTTGATAGAGGAAAGTTTCGATATGTTCTGCCGTGGTGTGACTTCATATGGGCCGTTCTGGGATCGTGTGTTGGAATACTGGAAGGCAAGCCGAGAGAGACCAGACAAGGTGTTGTTTTTAAAATATGAAGATATGAAAGAAGACCCCATTTCTCACCTCAAAGTGTTGGCTAAGTTCATGGGTTTACCTTTCTCTTTGGAAGAAGAGAGCCAAGGGTTAATTGAGGAAGTATTAAAGTTGTGTAGTTTTGACAACTTGAAAGATTTGAAGGTGAACAAGAACGAAAAAAATAAAAATGGACGTCCGTATAGTATGTTCTTTAGGAAAGGTGAGGTGGGAGATTGGGCTAACTATCTTACTCCTTCCATGCTTGAACGCATGAGCAAGCTCATGGAAGAAAAATTTGATGGCTCTGGTTTGAATTTCAAATTCTCTTAAATATTTGAGTTTTTTTCATAATGTAGTATAATTTATTTACTATCTCATGTATTGTAATTTCATTAGCTTAATAATGCAATAATGACCTAAAGTTTTTGGAAACTTCAAGTTGAACATCTGAAATTTTTTAGATTTTCTTTCTTGATTGAGCTACCTTTGTGAATACATGTGGTCCATATCTAATATCAAGATAATGGCTCTGTTGGGTTTAATTTTTAGAATTATCTTTCTAAAGAATTAAAATTTAATTTGCTAAAAAAAGTAATAAAATATTCATGATTTTTATATAGATTTATTTTTTTGGATGGTAAAAATAATTTTTAAAAATAATAATTTGTGAAAATCAAACCAAACGAGGCGAATGTTTTATAAGGATAACACATTAATAATAAATTTGAGGACTTTTTGAGACTTAGGCCAAGTTTGGGGACTTCAAAAAAAACTAAAAAGCTAAAAAGTTGCTCAAAAAGTTAAAAAATTAATACTATTCACCAAAAGTCAACAATTACGGCTGCACAACTCCCAATTTAAATTTTTCCCTCCCAATTAAAATTTTTTCCTACAAATCAATTTTTACAATTTTTTATTACACATTTTTTAATAAAAAGTCAAAAAGTTAACCCAAACATCCATATTTTCAACCTCAATTTTTTAGTCCAAAAAAACAAAAAATGCACTTTTTTAGTCTTCCCAAACTTGGCCTTAATCTACCTGTCTTCTATACTATTACTATATACTAGTGGTGGGATATACGTTCACGTGCTATTTGTAATTATATTTTTTAAATGAAAAACTTTATAACAATATGGAACAAATAGATATTAGAAAAATAGTTTTTTATAGTTCATTTATAAATTATGTGGATTTATTAACCAAACACAAAAATAGTATTTCGGATGAAAAAATTGAGAGGTTCGATATTAGAAAACTGTTGAATTACTGACATAAAGTAAATTGATGATGTACAAATGTGATTTGATCGATGAATAACTAATTATATATTTTAAGAAAGAAGAAACTTAAATCAAGAATTTATCAAGAATCTTGATGGACGATCTAGATTCAATTCTTAAATAATAGATCCTACTTTTAAAATAAATATCAATCATACATGTATTTTCTAGATAAATTTCTAGTAAAAATTTTGAGTTTGCAGAAGTCCTTGTAACAAAGATAAATGTGTATTATCAAAAAGTAATTAAATTTTCTCTTATATAGTAGACATAAGTAATATATTGATAATTTTTTTCTTTTTTTTCAAAATTTCCCAAATAACCTATTCAAAAAAATGGGCATACGAAGGAGGCAAGGAGGCCCATAAAAAAAATATCTTTCATAATTTTTTTTTTTCCTTCACCTTTTCTTGCCTTTTCTCTCGTGGCAACTCCAAGCCACCTCTCTCAAACATTTCAATACTGTTATATATATTAATTAATATATTAATATAATACTATCATTTTAAAATTAAACACAAAAATTTTAATTTTTTAAAATTATGTTATATTATTTATTAAAATATTAATTAATATATTAAGAGTATCTTTTACTTTAAACTTTTATGTCCCGTCATCATTGTTCCCAAGACGAATAAAAGACGTGGCCTCCACGCATAAAAAAGAAAAAGAAAAAGGAATCAAGATGGTTTTCTTGATTTTTCGTTATTGGATTTATTTTAGAACTAATTTTGATTATTTGAATCGTTTATATTTTAAAATTTGTTGAATATATTATACTTGTAAAAAATTAAAATAATCGGATATCAAGAAGCATGTATTTTGAAAAATTATTTATTAAATTTTTTAAAAAATGATTTTTAGTTCGATAATTCGAATATGTAATTTCTGATATCCGATCAACTTAATTTTTTACAAATATGATATACTTAACAAATTTTAAAATGTAAATAGTTCGAATCATCGAAATTAAATCCAAAAATAAGTCTAATAACCTATCAAGTGAAGAGTTAAGGTGAGAAATTAAGAAGAGTATTTTGATTAAAAAAAAAAAACAGCGCGGTAGATATGGGAGCCTCTATTTGCACACACCATTTACCCTCTTTACACACACTTAATGAATTTTTTTTTATTACATTTCAGTCCCAAAATGAAACTACCAAAATAACCTTCCTCTTCTCCCCCAACCCCCATCTCTTTCAGTCCAAAAACCTAACCCTAACCCTAACCCTAACCCTAACCATCATCCTCCATGGCTGCCGCCTCTCTTTTCCTCCATCACCGCCGTTACCTTTTCCTTCACCATTGCAACTCCCTTTCATCTGCGAACCCATTGCCTTCCCGCTTCTCTTCCCCACCACGTCGGGCATCGTGGAATCGCCTCCGTTCGGACTACCAGTGTCGAACGAATCGCCTCCGTTCGGAAATCAACCATCGAACCAATGAATTTGGTTCGACTATCACCATCCGAACAAAGCACACTGGTTCGACCATCAACATCCGAACCCCCTTTCGTCTGCGAGCCGCCGTCGCCGTTCGTCTGCGAGTCGTCGTCGCCTTCTTTTTCGCGACTGAGAGGAGAGAGAGAGAGAGAGGGGGGTCGCCGGTGCTGCATCGCCGTCGGCAATGTGGTTGCTGCGTAGGGTTAGGGTTAAGGTTTGATCGTTGTTGGCTGGTGTGGAAGAAGGTGTGTGAATTGGGAGTGTGTGTATGGGTATACCTGGAATAAAATTGTGTGTGTTGAGTAAATTGCTTTTTTTTTTTCAATTTTTTTAAAAAATTTCATATTAAATATTGATCTTATTTTAAAGATCTTGAAAAGCCAATTTCAAAAGTATTAATTTTTATAATAAATAAATTTATAAAATTCAAGTTATAGTACTTTGAAATATATTAGCCCAAAATACACATAAAGGGAAAAAATGTTAAAAATTATCCCTGTCACCACATATTTAGACTTACCAACAAATAAATATGCTAGACTTCCGTGCCAAAATATAGAGAAAAGAAAGAAAAAAAAAATTGAAAATGGCTATTAAGTTGAAGAGAAAATTGAAACGACAAAAGAGATAAAGAAAAAACAAAGATAAAAGAAGAATAAGAAAACAAGAGGGAGAACCGAAAAAGAAGAAGAACTAGAGGGAAATATATGGTCTCCATTAATATATTTCCAGTCGACAAGAAAGTTATTCAAAATCGTGATGTTGTGTTTTTTGAAGACCAAACAATTGAAGACTTTAGCAAATGTGATCAACCAGAGCCAACAACTAGTGACCTCATTGATATTAATTTATCTCCTTCGTCTTCGGTGGATGATGAAAATGGGGGAGATGTACAACCACCTATTAAAGATATGGAGAATGATATTAATCCTAATGAAGTTTAGCCCGAAATTGAGGAAGAGCATCCAACTCAAGAACCACTATCACAACTTGAGTTGAGAAAATCTACAAAGGACCTGCAACCTTCAAAAAAGTATCGTCCCAATGAATTTGTATTGATATTCGATCAAGAAGAGCCCGAGAGCTACCAAGAAGCAATTGAGCATGCAAAGAAAGGTGATTGAAAAAAGGCCATGGAAGAGACTTAATTGAAAAGTCATTGGTGTTATCCGTCAATGGATTGATGATAGTGTATTTCATCATGTTGCTATTGAAACTTCGACACACGATTTATGGAAAAAATTAGGTCTTTATGATAAAAAATCAACCACAAATAAAGCTTTTCTGTTTTGTAAGTTGATTAATTTAAAATATAAAGAAGGCAGTCCCATTCCAAAACATTTGGATGAAATGAAGAATATTGTTAATCAACTTGCTTCTATGAAAATTATTTTTGATGATAAGTTGCAGGTTTTGACGCTACTTATTTCCTTACCCGAAAGTTAGGAGACTTTGGTTGTGACGATCAATAATTCGACGCCTGATGGAGTTGTCACAATGAGCCAAGTCACTAATAGCTTGTTGAATGAAGAAACTAAAAGAAAATTAGCGAGTTCTTCTCATTCGATGGCATTTGTTATGAGAGGGTGAAGCAAAACAAGGGAGATGAGTAAGACTCCTCATGGTCATGATCAAAGCCGTAACAAATCGATAGATGGTTCTTTTTCAAAGAAAAATATTGAGTGCTATTATTTCCATGAAAAATGACACATGAAGCGGAAATGCCAAAAGCTCAAGAACAAGGAGAAAATGCATGACAAAAGTGTGGATAAGAAGTAAGAAAACACAATGGTGGTTACTATCAATGGTGATCTCATGGTCGTTTGTGAAGATGATTGTGTCAATTTTGTGGACCAAGAAAGCAATTGTGTGATTGATTCCGATGCTTCTTTTTATGTGACCTCTCGTGTTGATTTCTTTACTTCCTACACCAAAGGAGATTATGGTTGTGTTCGAATAGATAATGAAGGTTTGTCCAAGATTATTGGCACGGGTGACGTTTGCTTGGAAACAAATTTGGGTTACAAGTTGTTGCTTAAAGATGTGAGGCATATTCCCGACATTCGCCTCAATTTAATCTCTATCGGGAAGCTAGATGATGAAGGCTACAACAACAAATTTGGTGATGGAAAATGGAAGCTCACAAAGGGTTCTTTGGTGGAGACCAAGTG